GTTAGTATTTCCAAAATCACAGATTGCTATAGTGTTTTCAAAGGCAATCCAGAAAAAGAAAAACCCTCGCCTGATTTTTACCCTGTTTTCCAATTTTACCACATTATTAACCTGTTATTTACTTGTTTATTTTATTTTTTGCCTTTTGTTTTATGTTTTACATGGTTTCTGAAACCGTTCTTCGCCGTCAAGTCCTCTCTGTGTCTCAAGTCCGAAGACGTACATGGCGAGCTACTGGGCAAACTGGTAACAGCAGAAAAGCCATCCACATGAAGGTAAGCGGTCAGCTGTTAGCGCAAAAAGTAACAGAAGCCGTCGCTGGCGTTAGTTTTAAAGATGCAATGCAGCCATACATAGCTCTGGCTACATAATTAGAACTCTCCAGAAATGTATACGGTGTTACGTTTTCACAATAAGCCTGTGTTGAATAACACAGTAACATTTTGAGCCTTCAATGTGATTAATGGTATTTTTATTAATTTAATATATTAATTATATATTAAGTACATTTTTATTAACCTGATCTCATGAGAAAACATAACTTTTTTTTGTATTGGCCAAAAATTGCAAATTCGTACAAGTTAATATGATTTCGTTATATTTTAAAATGTGCAATTTTTAAAAGGAGGCATTACCCCAAGCTCCCCCCCCATATAATGTTGAATCATGTATATCATATGAATCTATGTTGAATCATGGATACCGATGGCATTCTTCAAAATATCTTGAAAATAACTCCCTGAGTACAACATGGTGGCTCAGTGGTTGGCACTGTCACCTTAGCAAGAAGGTTCGAGTCCTAGCTGGATCAGTTGGCGTTACTGTGTGGAGTTTGCATGTTTTCCCCGTGTTGTAGTGGGTTTTCTCCACAGTCTTAAGACTAAAGGTAAGTGGAATAAACTAAAGTGGCCGTAATGTATGTGTGCATGTGAGAGTGTATGGGTGTTTCCCAGTACTGGGTTGCAACTGGAAGGGCATTCACTGTGTAAAATATATAATGGATAAGTTGGTGGTTCATTCTGCTATGGAGACCAATGATGAATAAAGGGACTAAGCCAAAAGAAAATGAATGAAAGGTGAGTAAAAGGTCACAATTTTTTTTTACTGTAGTAGTAACATTTAATAAAACCTGTATATACACACACACACACACACACAAACACATACACACAACTGAAGTCAGAATTATATATATCACTGAGGTGAGCCACAAAATGTTTGAACGGACTGTGTATTAAAGGGGTAAATTTATTACAAATATTCAATAGGGTAAAAGTTTTCAAACAACATCTAACCAGAATATCAGAGTCAATACAGTCCCGGCCTCTATAAATAAAGGGAAACATTCATAGAAAGTACATGATCGATTTTCAAAAAGGTCATTGAGACAATTCTGAATGTAAAAAACAAAACAAAACAAAACCAATATGTACTGCTGTGAGTCCAAAATAACCGGATGTAATTGTGCAGTAGGCATCCATTAGTATCATAACAATTAAAGCCGGGATTAGGAGGACATTTGCTGAATTGAATGCGGTAAATAGAGGACAGATTTGCCAATGACACAATTCTTTCTCACACACACTCAAGCACATGCACAATAAATTGATTTAGCCGGTAATTACAAGCAACTTTTTCGATTCGGTTGCCTCTCAAACCTCCTAAAGTGTGCACAGTCACGCAACAAAGCGATTAAACATTAAAACAAGCTCGTTTCTCTTCAGTGTCTTTCTAGTCCAAACATTCTGGGACACAGTGTACTATTACAGCTGTACTTGAATAATGCATTGCTTCAAGTGGTACAGCTTTTCCTCATTGAAGACCTATTGAAGTGCATCAACAGTCTGCATTAAGAAAAGGTTTCTTCATAAATTCGTTTTATGTCTAATCCAAGACTGTATTTAAGCTACATGGCACTCTATATGCATTAAGATGTCAAGGCTTTTTAAGTTTCATCCAGGCTGTTTTGCACAGATCAGGGGCCTCATGTACAAAGACTTGCATTGAATTCATACTAAAACATTGCGTACGCAGTAAAAAATTCAGATGTATGAAACACTGCGTACGCAGAATCCCACACATATTCTCTTAGTACATTCGACTTGACGTGAAACTGAGCGCATGTGTACGAGCGCAAAACCCCTCCCTGCCTCCTCCCCCTAATAAATATGATAATGACTCTACTTTGGCAAAACCCAACGAAAAAGTAGTGGCAAAAGAAAGCAAGAAGAGAAACTTTGAACAGAATGTGAATTGGAGGTGCTCCTATCGGAGGTAGACCGGAGAAAAACGGTGTTATTTGCAAGTCTGTGTTTGGAATGAGCTACCTGTAGTTCAGTGATTTCCGCCTATTTGATTGACAGAGACAACAAAGCTAAAGAGAGCTTAGATCAGCAGTGCGAGTGGCGTAGCTCGTAAAGTGCATGGCAACATGTTTTGACCCTATCATTCATGAACCCGGTTCGAATCCAGCGTCTATTGAACTCATTCTTCTTTTTTCCCCATTGCATATCGGATTTTGCCTACTCTTCATTATGAGGAAGACAAGTAGGAATCATTATTAAGTGTGTGTATTATGTTAAGCGCATTTGAGCATCGCATATTATTTGCACATTTATTGAATGGAAATGTTTCTGATTAATGTATGAAAATTAATCTTCAGATGGCGCCTTTATAGCAATGTGCATGCAGTAGATTGCTCCGATTACATTGGGAAAGCTAGCGATCACTGCAAATTGCGCTTTAATGTTTGGCTGTTCAACTGCATGGTATGGAAACCTTATATACATGCTATGCTGATGATCCTGTCCCATACAGCTGCCCTTGCAAGGCTCAAAGATACTTTGTATTGTGCAATTTAATATAATTGCCTCTAGGAGTCGCCAATGGAAATAAAACAAACACACACAAGAAATGCACGTACATGAAGTTGGCGTGGACAAATGCACGTTCTCACGTTCATTTTAACGTTAGTAAATCCAAACGTGAGAGTGGAACCTGGCGTGCGCAGGGTTGATACATGAAGCCCCTGATATTTTGACACAAATCCATATTTTTGATTCCTTTCGTTAATATTTACAGCCAACCACATTTGCATGGAAATCGTTTGCCAGGTATTATTTAACATGCTAATGCACAGTACAGAGGCTGTGCTAATAGATTTAACAAAAGAGGATGAAAGAAAGAAAGAAAAATGAGCGCATGCAGTGTACCTTGGAGGAAAGCTTTATAGAGGGAATTTATCTCATTCAATGACTGAAACTTATAGCCCAACATTAGGGCGCATGAATAAATGAAAGTCTATGAGTAATAGTGCTTTTGTACTAAATAATATTAGGGGATAAAATAAAAGGTATAATGGTCAACTCGACTAAATAATAAAACACTCGCTCAGAACTGATTAAAAATATTATTACAAAAACTTGTAAAGCACAAACACATATTTTAGTAAGATGAAACAATAATAAGACAGAAGAAGATAAAAGAACAGAGACAGTCTAAGGGGCTGTTCACACAATACACATTCTGCTCCTCCGTCTGTAATTAATAAAACGTTTATATACACATTTACATTGCGTTAAACCCACTAGATTGAAATTTTATTCATCCATTCCCTGGGAAGCAGGGTGTTGTTAGCACAATTGCTCTCAGATCCTGAAGTACCCCCTACTTTTGCGTATTTTGTATTGTTTCTTAATAAAACACATCGAATTTATCTCAATAGTTTGTTTCTCAAACTTTGAAATGGTTGTTTGTGATGAGAGAGACATCAAGATTGTGTAATTACAGGGGGTACCCAAGATGAATATGAGTATATTAGTGCTAATATTAGTGTTTTTAATTCTAGGCTATGTTTACATGACAGCGATGAAGCCAAAAACATAAAAATAAAATCACTACTACACAACAAAGTTTTCAAAAATAATATGCATTTATACATACTAGGCATGGGATGATAACGGTTTCAAGGTTTAACACTGTTTGGAAAAGTCAAGGTTTTAAAACTGCCAAAATTTTCTGTTTCTAAGGTACATGTAAGGGTTTTTTATGTCTTGTAAAGATATCTGTGTTTTTAAAACTAATGAAGATAACAGATGTCATTTATTTACTTTAATTATGTAGCCTGACCAAAATTGCTAAATAGTATACATGTTTCCTGAAATAAAATATATTGTGTTCAATGGGGAGAAAAGACATTTAAAAAGAACATATTTTACAGTAGTAGTCAATACCGTGATACCATGAAATTGTGATATTTTTATCTATGGTTATCATACCGTCTGAAACCTATACCTACCCATGCCCAATAAATACCCATGAAAATGTCCTTAAAACAATGTACTATGTATGCCAGGCCATTATTTGGTGACACTCATCTTGATAGTAATCAGTACCTACAGGATAGTGATGATGTGCCATAATCAGCTCGCATTCATGTTTGTAAGATCTGTCTGTACTTTAGGTTGTTACAGTATGTAAAGTGAAGTTACGCTTTGCTGCATTAGCAAACACTTGAGCAACAACACGACACATTCTCCACCATTGTTGTGTATGTGTGTTTGCACTTGCCTTTTGTCTAGACTTCCCTAAACATGTTTATGCACTTACTACATCACCATTTTCTGAGACTTTTGTTTTTGTGTGTTTATAGGCCCTACGGTACCATAAAGTACGGTATGGTTCGGTACCTTTTTATGACCGTTTCCACTGTCAAAAGGTACCAAAAAGCGAACCACTTCTTGGGAACCCTTTCGAGAACCGTCATTAGGACGTGCACAGGCCAGGAGAATGAAAACAAAGGAAGTGCCGAGACATTTCGCTATAATGCCTGATAAAAGGGATCCGTAAGGACCTGTACCGTACACCTCAGTTGAAACACTCAATATGTGGACACAACAATGGCGGCAATTTTGAAAACGTATGCATTGTGTGCATTTTCAGTTTCAAAAATGACTTTGTCGTGTAAACAAACAGGCCAAATGTACATAAAGAGTTTACGGTTTTTGGCTGCAAACGTTGTGTGTAAACTGCCCCCTAGAATGTATCCTGTGCGAACTGCCTCTAAGAGAGTAATAGCAACATGGAAAGTATCACAGAACAGTGGACTGAGATGGAAAGCGTTTCTCCAGCTCCTCCACTACTGAGTTCATGCTTGGATTGGGCTCTGATGGTGGTCCTTCTTGAGCAGGCTCCGCCTCTGTTACACCAGCCTCTGGTTCGACAGACACTTGCGGTTTAGGGTTGATCACTAGTGGGCGCTGCTTTTTATCTATTTGACTGTACATATTGGCAACAGATTTCTCGATGTCTGCTATGTTCTGGAGGTTCTTAAGGATCCCCTTGAGTTCCCTCTTGGGAGGCTCTGGCTCAGACGGCAGTGGAGGTGGTGCAGGCCGTAAGGACACCGGTCGGAGGGACGTGACGGAGGGTAGAGGAGGGAGGACAAATGGAGAAGGAGGTATGGGACGAGAAAAGGAAGGTGATAAGGGAGGGGGTAGAGGAGGAGGAGGTGGAGGAGCTGGATGTGGAGGAACTGATGGGGATGGAGGGACAAGTGGAGGACTGGAGGAAGGAGGCAGTGGTGGAGGACTGGAGGAAGGTGGGAGTGGTGGAGGACTGGAGGGAGGAGGGGGTGGGGGCGGACTGGAGGGAGGTGGAGGCGGTGGTGGTGGTTGTGGAGCAGGTACATCAGGAGGGTCTGGAATGATCTCCACATTGACCTCGTAAGACTCTAAGTCAGGATAAGAAGACAGTCTGGTGTACTTCCGCAGCACTGGCGGAGTGGGCTTATGACTGGGCGGAGGTGTTGAGTCACTCTGAGTAATGATTATCGCTGGAGGTCTGCTGTTGTGTGGGGTTTCAAAAACAGAGAGAATAATTTCGGAAGAGAGTGACCCACGAGAGTCCTGACCTTGCCTCAACTTTACGTCCTGCAAGGCCTGCTGCTCAAACTGTCGTGCCTGCTCTTTTACAGTCAATTTGGGCTCTGGATCTTCATCCCCAAGTCCATCAAACCCATCAATCATCTCCTTGCTGTCCTTAAGGCTGGCCTTTAGCAGCTGCAGCTCCCACTGAACTGGATCCATCACCACCCTCCTACTCCGCTGGGATTCGTCCCACTTGTGCAACCGAGAAGGTAATGTCCAGGAATGTCCAGAGCCTGAATTCGGGAATCCCATAATGGACTTACTCAGACCTCTCATACTGGGTGAATACATGTCTAAGAGGTAACTCCGATTTTGGTGCTCAGGGCTGCCAAGAGTGACATCATCACGGTACAGGGGGTTGGTTGTAGTAAGTGGGTTGTCATCTGAAAGAAAGGTAATGTTGCTCTCCGACTTGGGAAAGTTGTTGAGCAGGATTCCGTTGGCGGTGGACAGCTTGTGAGCAGTGATAGCACGGGAAGCGAATGAGCTAATGAGACGCTGCCGATCACCATCCTTCAGAACACACCTCTTAGTCCTGATTTCAGCAAGTGTGGAAAGAGATAAAGATGAACTTAACAGAGAATGTAAAAAGCAAATATGATAGGGAGGTAGGAGGAATGCCAGCTATGAAAAGTACCTGCTTGGATTTACAGGAGTACTTCACTATAAAGGCTGATTTATACTTCTGCATCAAGCTCACATATATGGTTTGGCACGGCTACATAGTCCTCTTAATGGCTATCGCAGATGATGACATGCACCTCTCAAAATATGTAACTACACGTTGCGATGATGTGTAACGCAAGCTCTTTGATCGGGTACCAGTGATAAGCATGGGCAGTGCTGAGAGCTGTGAGCCCGATAAAGCGAGTGTTAAAAAAGTGTTGAGAAGGAGCTTTAGGAAACTTCTGCTTTGCGTTTACCTTATGAATAAGGTTGTTGCAAGTCTTGCCGGATCCTGCCTCAAAATAAGTGAGTTTTGGCAACTTGTACATTAAGGTGAAAACTCGACATGAGGAAACTCGACACAGAGCAACATAAAAACCTACAGCCAGCTGGCGTTTCGGAAGGGTTATTGCAGAAGTACGCAAACACAGCTATACGTGCACAGCTATACGTGCAAGACAGGTGCCGTGGGTCCTGCCGATCACTTGATGCAGAAGTATAAACCAGCCTTAAGAACAAAGGGCTGAACAAATCATAGGCAAACATTCGTAACAACACTTTTGCAAGGATGCTAGCACAGTTCATGATTGCAAGGATGCTAGCACAGTTCCTAGTAGGGTTTCACGATAAATTTTAATTAAATTAAGATTCTGCAAAAGCTGTGATTCTCATGCACATCTTGCCAGAAAAAACATGGCTCTGTGATCAATAGAACATCTCCTCTGAAGGCCACTGGAAATATGCCACAAACAGAGCAAAAGTTTAACTCCTTGTTTTGATTCAAAGTGACTGATAAAGACAAAACTATGGAATCCTCTCACAAAATTATTTATTTCAAACACACGTCTGAATTTACGAGGTAATTAACATTATTAAATGTTTTATATTCATGTGCTCCTGGATCAGCATGGACACAGAGCCATTGTTCACTGAGAAGTTCTGCAAACAGCTGTCAAATCGCAGAAGGATTCTCAGATTCAATTTCAGGGTCGCACTGATTAAGTTTTCTGTGATCTTTTTCATAGCTTCTCACTGAACTATTGTTCTGAGTAGTAAACACTGCTCCATCTGAAAGCAGCTGTTGGAAATTTACCACAAATTACAGAGCCAGCTTTACTGACAAAATGTGCATGAAAATCACCTTTGTTTAATCGTGCAGCCATTTTTCCTAGGCAATATAATGACAAGTAACCCAAAGTACTGCTAAAAGGCAACACAACTGATTACAGTGCAAGGCAACTAATGGCACTATACCATATAACTTACTTATATTGTCTACAACACTAGGAAACATATACGACTGTCTACTTACTTCGGTCTGATATCCAAGAAATGAAAAAAAGATGGGATGAAAAACAAATTAGCAACATGTTAAAAAGGTTAAAAAGTAGTGATGGGTCTTTCTTGAACGATTCGTTCATTTTTAACAAATCTTCAATATGACTTGGGAACTACAGGGAGTCCTCACAGGGAGTGATTCATTCATCCGCGCGTGCGCACATTTGTGCAGTTGGTATCATTCATTTCAAGTCTTTTGAGTTGTTCATAGCGGAAAGGCAGAAGCCAATCATTTGCGTTTAGAGCCCGAAAAAGAATTGATCTGTTCATCTCTTAAGTGCTCTATCAGTTTGAGTCATTCGTTCCTCACGGGCCAATCATATGCGTTTAGAGCCAGAAAAAGAATTGATCCGTTCAACTCTCGAGTTCTCGGATTCAAGTCATTCTGTCACATGATGAACGAACGACTCAAGAATCAGAAGACTCGAAAGGTGAACTAATTATCATGGCTCTTATTGGCTCAGACTGTGTACATTGGTTAAGATTATATGTGACTGTCAGTGTAACGTGAACTAACCACTGACATTTGAAGACATGAAGAGGTGAGCTGAGCAAAGAGACAAAAATACCTTCAAAGACAAAAGAGCAGGTAAACATTGAATAATTATTTTCTCCTTCTTATAGTGTTCTATTTATGACTTATTTGTCGCGTGATCAACCTTTTGGGCTAGTGGTAGATGTGTTTGGAAACAATTCTTAACATTTTATTAATATTTTGAGAAATTGAACCATATGAATAAAATGACTCGAAAAAAAATTTGTTCTTCTCGATGAACGAGACTCAAAGATCCGAGTCAGTAAAATGATCCAAACTTTCCATCACTACTAAAAAGAGGAAATCTGCCTAAAGCCAGACACAACCAAGCCAGAGAAAGAAGTTTACAAAGTCTGATAATAAAAACGTTATCTTCTGAAATAAGTTTGACAAGATATCACAACTGTCTAATAATGACATTGAGAAACTGTTCTGGCCAGCATGACAACAGAAGTGAGGTTATTAAAGTTAAGCAAATTAAAGTTATTCCAGTTGGCAATGATTAGCTCATGATAAGATCACGATAGGATCAAGACCGGAGTGGAAAAACAGACAGTTTAATATTAAGGGTCATAAAGAAGGTAGAAAAAAATGAACTTAAATTAGGCACTATGCACCAAAGCTGTCAAGGGGTTTATTGTATCTATTGGTTTTTCATTTATTCTTCCTCCACACTGGAAGTATGCGGACATCCCTAGAATCTTATTAAATTCAGCATACTCAAAGGAGATAATTTGTTTGTTGGGTCAAAAGTTACTGATAACACACACACGCACACACACTTTGAAATGCTTAATGAAAATTATTATGCTTATATCCTTTTTACACAGTTTTGTCTGAGGTCGGTGCAGTAGATGAATTGCACCCTAACCCATCTGGAACACCACTGTTCCAATCAACCTTGTATTGAACTTCCAATCAATTTCAGGAAAGACCTGTAAGTTTGCATTATATCAAATGTGTCAAAAGACGTAATACAATGGAAATTAAAATTGAAAGAATTGTCACAAAAATAAATTCTTGCCATTTGGTGAAGTTTATCACCATGAACACATGTCTGAGCTTTAAAAATGTTACATTAGTTTATACCTGTACCTAGATCCTTCAAATTTAACCAAATGCATGCTATATTTATAATTTTATGCCATTGTACATGAAGTAAATGTATCATGTAAAGCCCAATATGTGTTAATATGTAACTTGAAGCAAGTGATAGTATGATATGTAGTGATATGTGCCGAAGGTTTAAAACTTACATGGTGCTGTCGCCGAGTTCTTCATACAGATTGTTGGTGGCAGCACCTCCAGATTTGCCAGTGGGAAGAGCCATTTGGATCCGGGCTGTTTTTGCACACTCTGCCTGACGCCTGTAGATGATGTAGTCATAATATTATGCACAATAAAGTCACTGGCTTATATTATGAAAGGTTCATCAAATATACATAAACTCAGATGAAAACCCAATTATGGATCCAAAAACAATGTGTACAGAATTTCAGAAGGATGAGATTTAATTTCTTTTATTTATTGTTTGGTGTAATATCTGAGAGTCTGATATTTATGTAACAAGTGCCTATTGGATGGTTTGAGTTTTTTTAAAACCATGTTGTGCAAAGAAAACCTTTAAACACTTTTGTCAAAACATTTCTGCCCCAATTCTGGGAAAATCAACAAGCGTGATTCCTTTGTATTTTAACTAATTTAGTGTTTCTCATATTTAATAAATGTGATCAGTAGTTTTTAACTTGTGGTTTGCTTTATAGCAATGCAACTGACCATTTAATATAGTACCAAAGTTCTTTTAAGGCAAGTAATTTCACTCGGCGGCCATCTTAGATATGCCTCTCAGGTTCTAACTCTTTGAATGGGGAAACATCATTCATTTATTTATTTTCCTTCGGCTTAGTGCCTTTATTCATGAGGGGTTGCCACAGCGGAAAGAACTGCCAACTTTCCAGCACGTTTAGCACAGCGGATGCCCTTCCAGCTGCAACCCAGTACTGGAAAACATCCATACACACTCATTCACACTACGGCCAATTTAGTTTACTCAATTCACCTATAGTAAAGCCTTTGGGCTGTGGGGGAAACTGGAGTACCTGGAGGAAACCCACATCAATACAGGGAGAGCATGCAAACTCCACACAGAAATGCCAACTGATCCAGCTGCGACTCGAACCAGTGACCTTCTTGCTGTAAAGCGACAGTGCTAACCACTGAGCCAGCATGCTCAATGGGGAAACATCAAATAAGAATCTGTAAAGATCATATTTGCAATCACCAGTGAAATTTAACAACAACAGACTCATAATTTTTGTTTCTAAAAAATCATGAGAAAAAAAAATGTAATGCCAAAGTTAATGCTTTTGTGCACACATATTGGGTGCGCATATTATGCGCGCTCGCATTTTCCAGTTGAATGCAGTTGAAAACCGTGAGTCACATGACAAGAACTGACTGATCAGCTGCATACTTTGTATGAAATATAAACATTTCGGTAACACTTTACAATAAGGTTTATTAGTTAATGCATTTGCTAACATGAAGTAATCATGAACAACACTTGTGCAGCATTTAATAATCATAATTGAACATTTACTAATGCATTCCAATCCAAGTCCTTGCTTGTTAACATTAGTTAATGCACCATGAGTTAACATGAACTAACAATGAACTACTGTATTTTCATTAACTAACGTTACTAACATGAACAAATACAGTAGTAAATGTATTGTTCATTGTTTGTTCATGTTGGAAAATGCATTAACATTAACTAATTGTCACCAAATCGGTCCCAGTCGTTCCCCTCGCTAGCCAGCAGAGGTCATCATCACCGGACTATTGACGTTACGTCATCCATTTACACTTATTCCAGACACACCTGACACGCATCCAGCAATCACCTTCCACACACATATAAGCAGCACACACACGCTGCTTCATTGCGAAGTCTTGTTCTGCCCCGGCTAACACTACTGAGCGTTCTCATCCTTGCCTGCTTTCCCGTTGTCATCCTGCTTCGTTTACTGACCCAGTCTAGTCTGCCGCCTGCCTTGTACTTCAGCCTGAATCCCGACTTTGATCCTAACCGCCTGCCTTTGAACCCTAGCCTGATTACCGACTCTGATACTAGCCGCCTGCCTCTGACCCATGCCTGCATACTCATCCTGTGTTTACCTGCCGCCAGCCCAACGACTACATACTACTGTGTTTGATGTGAGTTTGCGCACGCACAACATCTGTGTGCTATTGTTTATTAAACTGTGTTTAATAAAAAAACTGCAAATGGATCCCTCTGTTTCAGCCACTTCGTTACACTAATGAACGTTATTGTAAAGTGTGACCAACATTTCGGTATACTAATTACTTCAGACAAACACAGAACACCCAAACACTGCAGTTCTTTTTCATACTATGGTTGTCAATGGTTACAGGTATCCAGTTTTCTTCTAAATGCCGTCTTTTGTGTTTTAAAAAAAAGACAATTAGGTTTGGAACAAGTGAATGATTAGAGAATTTGAAGTTTTGGGTAAACTATCTCTAAGTCTTTTGAATATGTAAAGCTGCTGTGATCAACCCATTGTAATGTTTTTCAGTGAATATTAAATTACTGTAAGAGCTGCAGTTTTAGGATTTTTATAGGTATCTTTTATATTTTATTTTAAAAGTAACTTTAAAGTAATAAGTAATCTGATTCTATTTACAGTAATTAGTAATGCAATCAGATAGCAATTTCCTAGTAGTAGTCAGCAATTCGTAATCTGTTACATTTTTTAAAGTAACTTACCCAATACTGATTATATGCATGCGTGATTTAGTTTGATACTTACTCTTTGAATCTGAAGTTGGCACATTGTGAAAAGAAGAGAGAGAGAAAAAACAGATATGTCAATGAATAATACAACAATCTTTTCGCACATCTGCAACAAACAGCACAAAAACACATTTCAGCCACACAATTTATAAGTCTGCTCTCTGTTCTGCTCTCAAATGTGAATGATCTTCAATCCTAAACAAAACCCTCAGTGATTCCAGAATAATCCTCATATCCCCCGCTCACATCTTGTAATTTCATTCCTGAATTTTCAATGTCAGGTCTGCCATATGGCATCAACTAAGCTGGCACTGCGTGTAAAAACACGGTCCTTAACCACTGATGATTTCTCATAGTTACGCATATTTGTGTGGCCTCAATTAATCTTGATTCGAGCTGAATAAACAGAAGACCGGGCAGTTCTTAAAGGTGTTGCTATTGTGAAAAATGTATAGTAAATGCAAGCCTGAAATCCCAGCAGAGAGAAGCTGCTTGTTTAACACGACTAGATGTTTCTGTTTTAATGAATGTGCTTGGCTGTTAAGTATAGAAATCTGCAGTCTGAGAAGTCTTAAGAAACAATAGGCTGGTTTCCATTACTAATTTCTGCAAAACCTTTGTGATGTTTCCTAATTGTTGAATTGTTTTATCTTTAATTTCTGCATTCCTATTAATATGCATCTAACATGTATTTTTTTCGTCTAGTGATAAGCCATTACAAAAATCATGACATGAAATTTTGGTTGTTTATCGCATACAAGGCATATCACAGCCACCGCACTACTCATTATTTTTAATCAAAGGAGATGAAGGTGTGTTTTTTAAGCATTAATGGTGTGGAAAGCTCTTGTATGAGGTTTTTCTGGGAGGTTACAGTAAAAGATCTCACAGAGGAACTTTAAATTCAGATTTTTATGTGCTTGCTGCATCTTCCCAAGATAAAGATAGTTCTTCAAATGGTTTCATAGCTCTAGAAATAAACGCATAGAAATGTCTTAAAGAAAAACTCCACTCAACTTTTTTTGTAAAGTCTCCTAGAGTTAATAAAGTTAACTAGAATCATTGTTTTTTTGTTTTGTTGATAACGTATTTTGGGTATCGGTGAGTCTTCTCACATATGCACTCATCATTCAGCAGTGATTTCAGTAGTTTCTGGTAGTTTTCCGGAAGACAGAACAATACTGGAGATGGGTCTGAAATACGGGAGACTCCCGGGAAAAACGGGAGTGTTGGCAGGTATTTTGTTGTTTCTCTTTCTCCAGGCTTACAATTAACTTATTTTTGACAGTAAAGTAGTGACTGCAGCCAGTGTTGCCACCTTGTGGGAAAACTAAATAGTGCGAAAAAAGGATTAAAGTGCACATCAACAATACATACACTGTACGCAGTTACAAAAATGAGTCTCCATTTGTATAATATGCACATTATTAGCCTGATCTCACGAGGAAACTATATTAAGTTTTGTCAGTTTAGTGGTTATTTCGTACAAATTCTTACAAGTTCAGTCGTACAAAAATGTCAATTTTAAAAAAGAGGCGTGGCACCCAACCCCACCCCTAAACCCAACCATCATTGGGGATAGAATAAATTGTACTAAATTGTACGAATTAATTCAATTGATTTAGCCACTAAATTAAAACGTTATGAATTGCGTGAAACGGTGTTGCAATTATTTACGTATTTTATTTTGTACTGTAAATAAACCTCAGGGTATTTTCAAAACACTGGACTATTTTTTGCTATTTTTTGCTATTTTCAGGCCAGCGCAGCTATAATTTTCACATTTTGCACCACATTGTTTAACTAGCAAATCCATTTGCACCACTTTGTGGACTCAGGGGCATGCTGGGCATGAAGTGTGTTAAGGCGCATTGCTAGTGTGATGTTATTTTGAGGAACTGAAATAGACCACGTTTCTACCACTTCCTTTCTCCATGAAATTAAAGTAGTAAAATAAAAGGTAAAAGAAAAGTAAAGAGAAAGTAAAGAAGCCGAATGGAGGAGACTAGTTCTTATCATCGCGCTGCAGATGGTCTGTTAAACAGTTTTCTCACTCATAAAGTGTTCAGTTTTCCACTTACAAAGTCAGTCATGTTAATAGCAAATGCATCATGGCACTTTAGACTTTGCACTTAGATCGTTAAAATAGAGCCCTTAATGTGCCAGCACTCACTGTCTGTAGGTGATGATGACGATGAGGATGGCAGGAATACAGCACAGGATGATGATTACAGCCAGAGCCAGCAGAGCTCCTTCAGTGTATCCCACAGAGTGAACAGCCCTTGTCACGCTCTCCACCACGTCCGGTGTGCGAATTTCCAGAATTCGACCTCCACGACCTAGGTAGGGCTGAAACTCCTTATTGATGTCCAGCAGTTTTCCATCTAAAAACCTGTAAAAACACACACCAGCAGTCACATATTACATGTTAAGCAACTAAATCTGCTGTGCAAGCTATATACAGTTAAAGTCAGAATTATTAGCCCTCCTGTATATTTTTTCCCCCTGATTTTTGTTTAATGGAAAGGAGTTTCTTTTCAACACATTTCTAAACATAGTCGTTTTATAATAACTCCTTTCTAATAACTGATTTATTTTTATCTTTGTCATGATGACAGTACATAATATTCTACTGGATATTTTTCAGGTGACACAGTGGCGCAGTCGGTAGTGCTGTCGCCTCACAGCAAGAAGGTTGCTGGGTCGCTGGTTCGAACCTCGGCTCAGTTGGTGTTTCTGTGTGGAGCTTGCATGTTCTCCCCGCATTGGTGTGGGTTTCCTCCGGGTGCTCCGGTTTTCCCCACAGTCCAAAGACATGCGGTACAGGTGAATTGGGAAGGCTAAATTGCCTGTAGTGTATGAGTGTCTGTGCGTGTGTGGATGTTTCCCAAAGATGGGTTGCAGCTGAAAGGGCATCCGCTGCGTAAAAATGTGCTGGATAAGTTGGCGGTTAATTCCGCTGTGGTGACCCCAGATTAATAAAGGGACTAAGCCGACTAGAAAATGAATGAATGAAATCATATTTTTCAAGATACTAGTATTGAGATTAAAGTGACATTTATATAGGTTGATTAGGTTAACTAGGCAAATGATCGTATAACGATGGTTTGTTCTGTAGACCAGTGGTCCCCAACCTCCGGGCAGCGGACCGATACCAGTGCGTTGATCAAATGGTACCAGGCTGCACAAGAAATCATTAACTACTTCTCTTTTATTTATTATCTGAGCCTGAATGAGTTTTTACTTCTAAAAAAGTTTACTTTGAAAAATGACTGTATTCGATGTGGGTCCATCTCGAACACTAAAACGCCAAAATTTAACCCACAAGCAGCAAAATGAATAAGAAACAGACATTTCTTGGTCTTCTGGCCAGTAAAAGACCAATGGACTGCCAAGAAATGGATCTGCAACTCATTTGTCAACAAATCAGGTGAATCCAGCATGACTGTGCAGGAAGATGAGCAAGACTGCTGGAGATTGCATATGACGTTAAGAGGCCGTTCATATATTGCATCTTTTCCACAAGCAAGTTTGTTATTTATAAATGCTTACTGATGTCAACGCTGGAGTTAGCACAGCTATGATTTTCTGAGTCAATGAATGAAATTAATGCTGATAATAAAAATGCCAAGACCCAAAGCATGAGTGCTGCTCTTCTGCAAGGTGGTAACCTTAAAACTAAAAGACAAACTCAAAACTCTTTTTAACCTACAAACTAATGATCAAACTCTAACAAGTCTTTCTCTCAAATATAAACACCTACAGTAAGATTGCTTTTATTTTCAAAATACCTTTTAATTCAATCCCTTGCAAAGCATGCTGGGAACTATCCATTGCGACATATCCATTATTAAAACGTACTTAATATTACTAGCTTTGCGATGATTAGAAAATATGATTAGAAATATTACGAGTAAATTAATATTAATATTTAACTCTTTCCACTCATTAAATATGTATTTAGAATTTTTTTGTTATCCTTGACACCTAATATTACAATTTAAAAATTATGAGTCATTTTTTTAGATTTCCTACAAAGTCATTGCTTTCAGTGTGCTTTTATTCTAGCTAAAATAAAACAAATAAGACTTTCTCCAGAAAAAAAATATATTATAGGAAATACTGAAAAATTCCTTGCTCTATACATAATTAATAATTAGTTTTAATTGAATAATAAACATAATTTGGGAAATATTTGAAAAAGAAAAGTCACAGGAGGGCGAATAATTCTGACTTCAACTGTACATGTGGCAATATCTCATTTGATGTCTCATTTGAACATCTCATCAGTGAATGTAATAAGTCAAATTTGTGGAAAAGTTCTAAAATGCATTGCCATAATTTAATTTTAGACAGGATGCTATACATAAATGCAAGATTTCTAAGCATCATTAACCATGCCTATATTAGAACTGTTAAAAAAAGTGTTGTTTGACAGCCTACAATTCACGATTTTCCCACACAGGCATTAGAAGCTCTGTATGAGCAGTCTAATTACTGTGACAAGACAGACAATCTGGCCAGAGATTTAACCAAGAGTCTCGTTTTTATGAGAAATGAGGAAATGTCTAAACAAACCTAAACACACACTCCATCTGCTCTATCATGCTGGTTAAAAATATGGGCGAGTGTAAATAAACATAAAAAAAACTGACTACCAATGGCTGCCAGAGAGCTATTTATATGGCTGGTGGAAAAAAAAATAATAATAACGAGACCAGTTTATAATCCTTGTTTATTTGAATAATAAATTAAAAGGATGTTTCTAAAATGACAATTGATCACAGTAAAAATCATGCCACGGTTTTTATTTACAGTATTTTTATAGAATACATTATCAGGGTTTAGTTTCAGAGTAAAGAAAGCTACATTTTTAAGGAGGAGACATAAAAAGTTGTTTAGACCAATTGTCATTGTATGTAAATATCTGTAAATAACTTTTTTTTTTTTTTTTTTTTTAGCAAATTACTAAATTAATTTTATTTAAGACTTTATATTAACCTATATTAACGCTACACTCACCGGCCACTTTATTAGGTACACCTATCCAACTGCTCGTTAACGCAACTTTCTAATCAGCCAATCACATGGCAGCAACTCAATGCATTTAGACATGTAAACATGGTCAATACGATCTGCTGCAGTTCAAACTGAGCATCAGAATGAGGAAGAAAGGTGATTTAAGTGACTTTGAACGTGGCATGGTCGGGATGGTGCCAAACGTGATGGCAAGATGTTTTCTTGAGCATGACAATGAGTTCACTGTACTCAAATGGCCTCCACAGTCACCAGATCTCAATCTAATAGAGCACCTTTGGCATGTGGTGGAAAGGAAGATTCGCATCATGGATGTGCAGCTGACAAATCTGCAGCAACTGCAACATGTCTCATTTTTTTCAGTGTCAATTGATGGAACAAATTAAAAAAAATGTTGTTTAGTCTTTTTTGTTGCTTAGTGTTGAATTCTAAAATCCAAAACAAATCCACTTGATGCACCAATAACATCCTTGCTGGGACATTTTAAAATGCTCCACCTGCATTTTAGCATTAATGAAAATGAAAGTAGCATACAGCTGTCCTGTCTATTTTCAGTGTACACAAACAGATGCATCTATCCTAGTATAAATAGAAGATTCATCCATTTATCCTAAAGAAGAGACCATGAGGTAAAGAGGGAGAAGAAAAGATCAGAAAGATAGTTTGCATGAGAGGATGCACTCACTTGAAGAGCTCCTGTCTTGAGAGGGCTCTGTTGGTCAGAGGGTCGATTGCGTAAACCATCAGGTCAGATTTGGTGTAGTCCTCTTGTTCATATCCATCGCCAAATCGACGTGCTCCAATTGACTCCATAACTACTTTAGCTCCTGGGATCTGGTCCTGGACGTAACGCTCTAAAATCCTGAATTTAGAGAAATGAGAGACTGACATCAGCACTTTTTGATGTACTAAAATGTTCTGTATCAACACTAGGTACAGCCATGAAAATAAAATAAAATAAAATAAAATAAGTGATAAACTAAAAAAAACGTATAATAATAAAACAAAATGAAATAATATAAAATATATATGAATGAACCAAATACAAAAAACCCCGATAAAATATAAAATAAAATAAATTAAATACAAATGAACCAAATACAAAAACAAATAAATAAATAAATAAATAAATAAATAAATAAATAAATAATAATAATAATAATAATAATAAAATATAAAATAAATAAAAATAAAAATATATAAATAATAAAAAATTTAATTAACATACAACAAGACAAAACATTTGATTTGTGATATTTTGTAACACAACAACAACAACAACAACAACAACAACAACAACAACAGCAGCGAGTTTGTGGAAAACAAAGGAAAACAAAGGTTTGTGGTTAGGTTGCAAAAAAAAAAAACTTGCATAACAAACAAAACAAAAAATAAAATAAAACAGAGTCTGTTTGCATGTTACAAAACAAAATCAAAACATGACACCTTCTTGTATAATAAAAAATAAATAAACAAAAATGAAACAGTTCATGTTTGTGTTGCAAAAAAGAGGGTGCTTTGCGCAATTTAAAATACAACTATTATACATAATACAACTATTTTTTTTGTTATACTAAATACAAGTTATTGTATAACAAAAAAACAACCAAAAAAACAAAATGGGACATGTTTGTGCGTTACAATTTTTTTTTAATGCTCTTCAATAAAATCATGTTAGTGTTAAAAAGCAAACAATACGAAAAAAAAAGTAAAAAAAAAAAATTCTGCACATTTATATAAAAAAAAAGCCAGATCATGAACTAAAACAGTACAAAACAGAACAGTCCAAAATAAAAAGTGCATTGTTTGTGTAATAACAGATCATGTTTGTTACAAAAACAAACAATACACAACAAAAAGTGCATTGTTTGTGTTATACAAAACAAAACAAATAGTCTGTGTTACAAAAACAAACCATACTAAACAAAAAGTGCATTGCTTGTGTAATATAATAAAAAACATATAGTATTTGTGTGTTACAAAAACAAACAATACAAAACAAAATTGTGCATTGTTTGTGTAATATAAAACAAAACAGTTCATGTTTGTGTTACAAAAACAAACAACACAAAACAAAAAGTGCATTGTTTGTTATATACAGTAATACAAAACAAATAATGTGTGTGTCACAAAAACGAACAATACAAAACAAAAAGTGCATTGTTTGTGTTACTGTATATAATACAAAACAAAGAATGTGTGTGACAAAAACAAACAATACAAAACAAAAAGTGCATTGTTTGTGTTATATAATACAAAACAAATAATGTGTGTGTCACAAAAACAAACAATACAAAACAAAAAGTCCATTGTTTGTGTAATGTAAACCAAAACAAATAATGTGTGTGTCACAAAAACAAACAATACAAAACAAAAAGTGCATTGTTTGTGTTATATAATACAAAACAAATAATGTGTGTGTCACAAAAACAAACAATACAAAACAAAAAGTGCATTGTTTGTGTTATATAATACAAAACAAATAATGTGTGTGTCACAAAAACAAACAATACAAAACAAAAAGTGCATTGTTTGTGTTATATAATACAAAACAAATAATGTGTGTGTCACAAAAACAAACAATACAAAACAAAAAGTACATTGTTTGTGTTATATAATACAAAACAAATAATGTGTGTGTGTTATTAAAACAAAGCAATTTAAAATAAAAACAAAATGGGGCTTGATCTTATGTAATAAAAAAATTACATGTATTAATAATACAGGCATTATTAGAACAACATAAAACAAAAAGTGGAATATTTTTCTGTATTAAAAACAAAACAAAAAAAAGAGACAGATCCCGTTTGTTTGTTACATAAACAATACAAAAAACAAAATGAGGCATATTCTTGTATAACAAAAATAAAATAAAAATGACAAGGGCAAAGACTTTTAACAGGCACAAGTGTATATAGACCAAAATAGTCCCCCCCCCATAGAATAAAGCTCAGTGTGTGAAAATTAGACAGCTAATGCATGTCGCTTTTCAGTGCTAATTCGAGAGCCTCTAAGCCATTAATCGGTGGGCAGATATCAGAGAAAATAAACTGACAATCAACTTCCACACGATCACAAACAAACGCTAATTGCAGTAATCACCGTAGCTGAGTAAAAAAGCATCAAAAACACACCCAAATGCATCAATTACTCTGTCTGCATATTTCACAAGTGCTGCAAAACCCCTATATTAACAATGCTTGTTAGGCTACACTGAACAGGAGCTGCAAGGAGGACAAATACAAAGTGAGGGCTAAAATGAGCTGTGTAAGACGGCGTCACTTCAAAGCTGGTGTCCTTGTCTCCCAGTGGGTGTCTTTATTACCCCTCAGTTCACATCTCAGAGCAGCCAGAACCTCCTCAGCCAATTACCTGCAGAGATTCACATATCCCCGCTTCACAGCTGCCGAAGAGAAATAAATAATAAAAAAAGAAAAAAGAACAGAGGCTGGAATGGAGATGCTAGTTGGGGGGAAGGAATAAGATGCAGGTTTGCTGAGGAAACAGCCTGACGAGAGAAGATGAGAGAAAACTTGGCCACCTGAGGCAGAAGATATTTGTGTGTGTACTAGGAAGGTGTACTTATGCCTTAATATTACAACCCTAAATCAGAAAAAGTTGGGACAGTTTGGAAAATGCTAATAAAAAAGAGGGTAGTGAGAAAATTATTACGTGAAAAAACTATTGAAAATGTTTGAAAGAATGTTCCTCAAAGAAAGATAAAACGACATTAGGATATTTCACCTTCAACAGTGCATAACATCATTAAAAGATTCAAGGAATCTGGAGGAATTTCAGTGCATAAAGGACAAGAGTGCAAGCCTAAGCTGAACATCTGCTATTTCCGATTCCTCAGGTGGCACTCCATCAAGAATCCTCATTCATCTATATATCACCACATGGGCTCAGGACTACTTTAACAAACCTTTGTCAAGTACCACAATACAAAGTACATCTTCAAATGCCAGTGAAAAATGTACAGTGCCAAAAGGAAGCCATATGTTAACAGTGTCCAGACATGCCATCGACTTCAAAACTTCATTGTCTGCAATGAAATACAAGTCAAAGTAAATTTAGAAATCAATTCTTTCTTTTTTTATTTGCGTTTTTCATACTGTCCCAACTTTTTCTGAATAGGCGTTGCAGCTCTGTAGTATGTAAGTACATTAAGTTCTAATTTCGCAGGGCACATTTGTAAAAAGTGTGTTACTGAGTTACAAAACTAGAATGCTGAATGTGGTGCATTCTTGCGTAAACAAAAAACAAACCGAACAAGTTTTTGCAAAGTTTTCTGCAATACAAAATGTATCATTTTGCAATAACAATTGACTAGAATGTGTCTGTGCAAAACAAAAGGGCATGTTTGTGTATTTCGTAACAAAAATTAAAGTGTTGAGTGTCCACATTAAAAAATGTGGAATGTTCTTCTGTTTTAAAAAACTAAACTGCACAGATCATGTTTGTGATTTACAATACAAAACAAAAACAAAATGCAGCACGTTTGGTAATAAAAAGCCAGATCAGCAAAACAAAAAAACAAAACAAAAAAAAAATAAAACAAAACAAAAAAAAAAAACAAAACAAAACAAAACAAAACAAAATGCAGCACGTTTGGTAATAAAAATCCAGGGGCCTGTTTCAGAAAGGAGGTTAAGTGAAAACTCAGAGTATTTTAACCCTGAAATGAGAGAAACTCTGGGTTTTCCGTTTCAAAATGGCAGGTTTGTTAAACTGGAGAAAGCAGGGTAAGTCAAGCCTGTTTCTGAAAGAAAGGTAACTTTAACTCAGAGTCAGTTACTGTGGTAACTTACTCTGTGAATCTAACCTGGTCAGAAGCAGGTTTTATTCTCTAAACTCAGAGTTTCTGTCGGTCTCCTCCCCTTTTTTAAAGATGAAGCGGTATTTCTCCCCTTAGCCTTACGCCTCCACACACCTATTTTAATGCTTATTTTGGATACGTGCATAAAAACGATTGATGGAAACGTCATGATGCACATAACTTTTTAAAATATGCATAAAAACGCGCATAACTGAGTAGGATACACTTTTATTCGATAGAAAATGTGCGCATAAACTACGATGGAAACACTTTTACTGAACAAATTACAGTATGTACATTAAAAAAAAGATCATGATCATATGATAATGAATGTGTGTAAATGAACAAACCAGCAGGCTCAGCACACTGTAAGACGTCTTAAATATTGTTTTAGTCATTCTAAAATGCCTTAACTGTTTCAGTATTAGTGTATATTATTAATTACCTCCGAACGTCTGGTGCGTGAGTCTCCGCGTCTCATGGCTTCAGACGCCCCCACGTGTTCATTGTGTTTCAGCATTGTCTTCTGACATCGAGGCGCAAGTACATTAATTAGGCTAAATAAAGAATTAATTGACGCAGCTTCTTCTACCACAGTAAATTCTGTTTTTACTGTTGATATTTGGTGCCAGTTTAATCAGAAATTGACGATTTTTTTTCTCTTTGACTCGTTGGATGGAATTTTATTCGCATCTTTTATGCAATATTCCAGTTTTGCACATACATTTATGTAATATATTTGGATGGAAACATAGCTATTGCCTACATTTTGTCACACAGGGAAGAACTGTAATAGAATGGCTTATGCTTTTTTAATAAATAATTAAATTAAATTCACCTTCAACATGCACTGTAACTAGATTAATGGGATTATTATTCTTTCTAAAAATTATTTTTAGTACTGCTTACCTTCTAAATGTTATATTAACCTCTATCACTTGATCAATAAAAAAGGCAGACACACAAGTGCACTGTTAAATCATTTAAAACTAATAAATGTATAAAAAAAAGTTTAGAAAAAAATATAAACGTCACAAATTACATTACTTATTTTATTATACTTAAATATTTAAATACTTAAAAAGTGAAATTAGGCATTAACTTGAGTAGCTGTTTTCCCACGCTAACTGTCTCTTCTTCACTAATGGTTGCTTCTTTTCAAATATATACGCTCATATTTGCTATAACTTTGCATGAGAACATCAAGTTCAGCTGGAGAAAGAAATGGTGATCTCTTTTATAAGATATTGCCATTGTCACTCGTAATGTCTGCGCTCCATTGATAATGCCTTTTTAAAGTCACGGTGTGCGCGCTTAACTCTGAGTTGGTCTACTCGAAGTTGATTGACCCAACTCAGATCAGCTGTTCTGAAACCGAAAACTCTGAGTTTTTAATCTCTCGGTAAATCAACTCAGAGTTCAAGTTTAAACTCTGAGTTGTTTGAACCTCCTTACTGAAACAGGCCCCAGATCAGCAAAATAAATAAAACAAAACAAAACAAAAGAATAAAACAAAACAAAACAAAACAAAAACAAAATGCAGCACGTTTGGTAATAAAAATCCAGATCAGCAAAATAAACAAAACAAAAACAAAACAAAACAATAAAAACAAAACAAAACAAAACAAAACAAAAAGTGGATTGTTTGTGTAATGAAACAAAACAGATAAGGTAATCAAAACAAAACAAAAAACAAAAAAGCAAACTTTTAGTGTAATAAAAACAAAACAGATCATGTTATTATAAACAATACAAAACAAAAACAAAATGTGTAATGTTCTTCTGTTTTCAAACAAAGTGTTGAGTGTCCGTGTGTAACAAAACCAAAACAAAACCAAAAACAACAAAGTGAAGTTTATTTATACACTAATTTCGAGAAGATCACATGCTTATGATTGACCACAGTCGGTCCTGCATTAGCTAATACACAATCTTCCAATCAGATGATTCCTAAGTCACTATAAATAACCACAGATAATAATTCAGAAGGGCTAATAATTCTGATTTCAAGTGTAAAATAAGATCTCCTTCTTACATCACAAGTGAAGCAAACAATGAACAGATTGTTTCCCACATGCCTTTTCCAACCAAATCTAAAATTACTGGTTTGTCCTTTTTCACGTTTGCTGTATTGGCAGATGCACCAGGGACCCGAATGTAGCACTTAAACATAGAAAAAAAAGTCAAATTTACATGATATGTCCCCTTAATGTGGAGTACAGCAATGCTATAAGTGCAACCCGATGTCTGAGGCAGGTTTCTGGTTATTCCGCTCCTGATGCAGATGCTCCACAGCGTGAGTCCTGCTTCAATCTGAGTGGGGTCTTGACAAATTCAAGCAGCCCACTGATTTATCCTCAACATAAACATCTGCACCCGCAGGAGTCAAGTGCTCATGCATACATTACAGCGTCAAGCACGCTCTGAAAACACAACGTGGTGAAATATGTCTGGGGTGAGAAGTGTGTTTGTGCGGAGCATGTTACCCGATGAGCCGGTCCTTGTTCTGTTCCACTACTGTGGGCGGCACGTTGGATACGACCACCTGCATGTCCAGCTGGTTAACCACTGACACCTGGGAGACAGGATAAATATAATCTCCAGTTATAACAGAGAAAATGACAGCGTAGAAGCTTGAAGGTTCTGAACTGTGTAATATTTTAAATATACACTGCATGGCTTTTTTGTGGTTGAAGGTTAATTAGCTAAATTAACGGTAAGTGTGTGTTTGTTTAAGAATTAAAGCATCGCGAACATCAAGCAGAGATATCAAGCAAATGCAGGCAGTTTTTTTCGGCAAGGATCAAGCAGAGATGTACAGATAAATACAAATAACAAATAATTCAAAGTATATTTGTATATTGGGTTAAATATAACCTGTTTTAATCAATTCGCCTTAAAGCTAAAGCAGCAGTTTGGGCGACACGGTGGCTCAGTGGTTAGTACTGTCACCTCACAGCAAGGAGGTCACTGGTTCGAGCTTCGGCTGGGTCAGTTGGCATTTCTGTTAAGGAGTTAGCATGTTCTCCCCATGTTGGCATGGGTTAACTCTCTATATTATTATATCTCTCTATTAAACAATATTTTTACATTTATATATATATATTTTTTTTCTTGACCGCAATAAATATTTTTGATTTAGATTAAATTACATTTTATAGTTTGAACCAAAGTTAAATTAGTGTTTTTTTTTTAAGTTGGTTCAAAGTGTAAATATTGCAGTGCTTATTGCAAAAAAGATAATATTACACTGCATAATATGGCTAACAAGTTGTTTTATGCAATATATTTTATATCTACATACTGTAGGCCATATGTTTAGTCATTTGTATGAGAAAGAGACCAAACTGCAAAATTCAACCAACTATGTGTCCATACAGCTGAAGTCAGAATTATTAGCCCCCCTGAATTATTAGCCCGCTGTTTATTTTTTCCCCCCAATTTCAGTTTAACAGAGAGAAATGTGTAAAGAAAATAAATAAATCACACATTTTTAAACATAATAGATTTAATAACTCATTTCTAATAACTGATTGACTTTATCTTTGTCATGATGACAGTATTTCCCAGTAATGGGTTGCAACTGGAAGGGCATCTGTTGCGTAAAAATGCGCTGGATAAGTTGGTGGTTCATTCCGCTGTGGCGACCCCAGATTAATAAAAGGACTGCCGAAAAGAAAATGAATGAATGAATGAATGAATGATGACAGTAAGTAATATTTTACTAGATATTTTTCAAGACACTTCTACACAGCTTAAAGTGACATGTAAAGGCTTAATTAGGTTAACTAGGCAGGTTAGTATTATTGTATAATGATGGTTTGTTTTGTAAACTATCGAAAACAAAGCTTAAAGGGACTAATTATTTTAACCTTAAAATGGTGTTTAAAATATATGTATATATATTTTTTTATTCTAGCTGAAATAACTAGACTTTCTTAAGAAGAAAAAAAATATTATCAGACATACTGTGAAAATGTCCTTGCTCTGTTCAACATTATTTAGTAAATATTAAGTAAGACTAAAAAATTCAAAGGGGGGCTAATAATTCTGACCAACTGTAAATAATCTTTATGTGCACTGCTGTGAGGTTAACAGGCAAAACATTCTTTATCAACATGTATTTCTTTCACACACATACACACACACACACACACCCGCACGCACACACACACACGCACGCACGCACGCACGCACGCACGCACGCACGCACGCACGCACGCACGCACACACACACACACACACACACACACACACACACAAAAATGCTTGCAAAAAATTATAAGCTTTTTTCACATGTTGTAGTAAGGATTTAGAATCACTTGTTTGCAGATACCATTTAGTTTGAAATTTTGACATTTTAAGTGTAACTTAACTGGCATCAACAAGACACCCTCACCTCTACTGTACATATTTATTTAACTCATGAGACCAAGTACTGGTTCAAGATGTTGCATGCTACTGAGAGATTGATCTATAATTCTTCTGGAGCCCCTAAGCACACCAAAAAAAAAAACATAAGATCAATGCCTCTTCTGTATTACACTTTGGACGTTCTTCAAGAAAGCTTACGGGGACTGTATTTTTCTAATCAAAATCAGCTAACGGAGCTGCCCCTGCTGTAAAACCATATGATGGATTGCACCTCAGGACAGGTTACTGCTTTAAACTTTAATCAATCTCTTCAAACTGGCTCGAGATTGTGCGTTTAAAGGTGAAGTGTGTAATTTCTGTCCTTATTGCAACAGCAGAATTGCAACTCGTCCCGATTCCGATGACACTTAATGGTCTGGGTTCTTTATGACTCCATAAATATTCTTGTATTACTTTTGAGGAAAATATGTGGTAAATAGTGACATATTTTTGTCAAAATACCATTTTATTTTATCCAAATACCAAACAAAATGCTGTTCTGAATGAGTGGCCTTAACTGTACCAGTGTAAATCAAAGTCCAAGTGTGACATTCTGTGAATTTATGAATGATTTAAATCCAGTCACATTTTGTTTGCAAAAATATGTTTCTATACTGTGTATATGAATCATTGCTTTAATAATTATAAATAATAATAATAATAATATGGAATCTACACAAATTGGCTCAGCTTTATGCTTCACATATACTTTAAACATACCACCACTTGAGCGCTGCTGCTGAGTCCCTCGCCGTAGTTATCCGTCGCCACCACGTCAAACTTGAAGTAGGAGCGCCGCATGTTCCTGTACATGATGGCTGTCTTAATTACCCCAGTGAAGGGCTCAATAACAAAGCCGTCTTTGCCGTCAGTGGTTGGAGGGATAATCAGCCTATACAGCATGGCGCTGTAATTCCCTGTGTCCTTATCCAGAGCCTGTCAGAAACAATAGAGCACAGACGTGTCAGGAGAAGAATAGCCACAAGCTACTTATCACCTACAACACCAGAGCCGCTCAACCTCTGCCTCCGTCTGCTGTTACACCTTTGTCCCATAGGAGGAGCCCCAAACCCCGATTTAACAGCGTCACTTAGGCTGGACGTTACGGCCCTCCACTGCGGTGACAATGATTAATAATGGCTTTTTACAAGCGAGGGAAACTGGCGGCTTCACGGACAGCAGGGTGCCCTGGACCAGGCAGAATCATTAACACAAATGAGAGACTTTTTCCAATGTGCCTGGGAGACTCGTTACAATAAATACAGTAAGTGCGCATTAAAAGCCCCTCGCAAACAAAAGGTCTGTCATTTAATTGGTTATTTAGTGAGCCTGAGCATGGAGAACGCTTTGATTGCCGCCATATGGCTTTGCTGAGGGTTTTCATAAATATTGAAGACCAAACATTGAGCTTGAAATGGAGTTGAAATGCAAAAATAATCACGCATTCTAAGCATTATTAAGGTTAAAGGTCACGTGAAATTAAAAAAAAAAATGTTTTTTTTAGATTTTAGTATATGTAGCATATCTATAAGTTAGTCGGCTTCAAAAACAGTGGCTATTGGCATTTAGAAGATGGAAACATCTAAAGCTTGCAGTTTGTCACTTCTGTCTAAATGCATCAGCATTTTTTTCATGCTTCAGTTTCTAATCAAATCTTCTGACCAATCAAATGATCTCTAGCATCTGACATGTCCCGCCCCCTTTCAACACACCTCTCATATGCTTTTAATTCGATGTCACCAACTATCATTGGCAGAGCTGTGATTAAAATGAAATGCTATAGACGAATTACTGGTTTGTAAACATTCAGGATGCGCATGCAGCGAGGTTACAGAAAAAAAAAATGAGAGCGCTAGCATTTACAGCGAGGCAATGACATCCGATGCGGAACAGAGCTTGTTGTTGTCTTAGAAATAAGTTATATTGATTACATATTCTATATATTATTTACATAATGCTTTCAGCGTATTAAAACAGCTTGTCACCCAGTCATAAGCACAGCTATTCAGGAAACATAACGTTAAAGTGAGCAGCATTCGTCTGACAGGTCCATTTGCGATAGCACCCTCCCATATTGGATATTGGATAAGATGAAATGGCCAAGCATCCAGCTCCAAATATACAATCTCATTGAAACTCCAAGTGATTTTACAAGAGAGAAGTTAAAGGCCTACAAGTCTTTGGATGCCAACACGTTTGTTCTGTGTGGTAATGCGCAAGAAATAATGTTCCATGATTACCAGATTCAAAACTTTTGTTGAAAACCGAGGTTCTACCTAGCCAAAGACAAGAAAAGTAGACAGAATCATACAAGGCCTGGGTAATCATCAACAAGCAAAACAATGTCTAACATGAAACATCGTGATGGACGATGGCATCGTCGTCATTGGCGGCTGTAAATTAATTATGAATGATTAATTAATTCCTAACTAATTATTTATTTGCAGCCTACCATTTTAACTACCTGACACGCATGGTCTTTGTTTTACCCATAAACAAATCATACAGTAAATGAATAAAGATAAGTTACACACATAATTACCACCTGTCAATTACTTTTTCCGCGGGACTGGTGAATAGGCATGAATAGGCAGAGTGATCAGTGTTGTTATAATGGCGTCGGTAAAAAAGGTGCACAACCAACAGGAACCAGTCAACAGTATCTGTGGTGTTCGCTAAAATTACTAAGTACAAGTGTGAACTTAATCTACTGTCCAGTCTACTGACCCGCTGACTGCCTGGACCCGCTGTCTCGAGCGCATGACAGTGTGTGTGCGTCTGTGTGTGAATGTGTGTGTGGTCACATGATGTGCATTTTCAGCGGTAGTGTGGAAGGAGGGCTGTTCAGAAATACTAAGCGAAATTGTGAATGTGGATTGTGTTCATTCTAAAATGCCATTTAAAAACTATAAGTGTAAACAGGGCCTGAGTGTGTATTTTTAACAAGCTCATTTGCAAAGGGGGCGGGGCAGAGGATTACGATGCCGGCTCAGCATCGTGGTGTCTGTCAGCCATCGGCCCAACACTATTGCAAACTCCACACAGAAACGACATCTGACCTAGCCGAGGCTCAAACCAGCGACCTTCTTGCTGTGAGGCGACAGCACTACCTACTGCGCCACCGCGTTGCCCAGTTTTGAAATACTTACAGTAGCAAATGTACAAAATATCTTCATCTAGCATGATATTTATCTAATATCCTAATGATTTTTGGTAAAAAAAAATAAAATAAATAATAATCTATCGATTTTGACCCATACATTGTGTTTTTGTCTGTTTTCTAAAACTATTCTCATGCACCATACGACATGGTTTTGTGGTTCGGGGTCATAATTAAGCAATTAAATGCAACATAAAATTCACTGTATAGATTAAATATGCAACAATTATCATGAAAGCTACTAAAGTCTCTTTCAATGTTTCATTAACACTGAAAGACACAGAGCAGCAGGAGTTTGGTGTTACTGTCACTTTAAGAGCTGCACAGATGCAAATTAACAATGCGCACACCTGAAAGCTTTCTCAACTGTTCATATTCACTTTAGACTTTGACAACTGTGTTTATGCAGATATTTGTCAAGATGTTTAGCTGGAGATAAATTTGCATGCATTTGACTGTTCAAGCACAACACGGCACAGAAGAGAGAAGAATAGCAGACGACACACTGTCTTAGAAGTGCTCTCTGTTCACAATCTACAGGTCTGTGTCAGTCAGCAAGAGAGCAGCAATGAGTTTCTTTTTATAGGCTGTCGCGCTTTTATAACTCATTCTCATATCATGTGCGTCATGCACTTTATATTCTCACCGGTGCATGTTCCTTTATTGTGGACTTTATGACGTGTCTGTATCTTTAAGCAGTTCTGCATTGTGTGGATGTTGAAGGCCAATTTTTTAGCCCTCCTGTGATTTTTTTTATTCTCTTTCAAATCCATTCACCGGTCAAATTATTAGGTACACCTGTCTGCTGCTCAATAGCACAAATCAGCCTCTAATGGCAACAACTCAATGCATTTAGGCATGTAGAAACCGAGCATCAGAACGGGAATGAAAGGTGATTTAAGTGAATTTGAATGTGGCATGGTTGTTGGTGCCAGATGGGACATTTGGATGGGAGGGTCAGAATTTGGCATCAACAACATAAAAGCATTAATCCATCTTCGCTACAGCTGATAATATTCCGAACACTCACACACAGCTAAAACTCATAATCAATGATTACCTGCCGCCGTACTCACACACACTGCAGAGTATAGTATTATATACATTATATAGTATATTGCAAAACAACTAGACCAGTGGTTTTTAAACTTTTCACCAAGTACCACCTCAGAAAAAAATGAGGGGCCAACCCAGGTATGGGCATATTTTGGGCAAATATTGACATATTATTTTTTAAATCAAGATAATATATTTTCTTGACTGGAAATTTTTTAGATATTTGGAGTGAGAAAAGTATTTGAAGTAAGAAGTTTTTTTTTTTTTTTTTTTTGCAGTGAAGGTGTCACGATCCCCAGAAATCGAACCCATGCAGATCACTAAAGTACTGCACATCTGCCCCCAGGAACTACAACTACCACAATGCTGTGCGCTAATCAACACCCGCTACAGCTGATAATATTCCGAACACTCACACACAGCTGAAACTCATAATCAATGATTACCTGCGCCATACTTTCACACAAACTGCAGAGTATAGTATTATATACATTATATAGTATATTGCAAAACAACTAGACCAGTGGTTCTTAAACTTTTCACCAAGCACCACCTCAGAAAAATGCTGCTCTGCTTCAGTCTGACAAAAAATGGCTGCATATTTAGGCCATATATTTTAGCATATAGATACTACTAAAAAATCTAATTACTCAGCTGTATTCTGGAAATGAGCCCAACCTATTAAAAACAACACAAAAAAATAAATAAATAAATAAATAATCCTTAAAAATCAAAGCCAAAGATAATTATAATAAGCTGGCAACTCTGTTTGGCATCTGTAAAAAAATCTAAATAAAATAATAATAACAGTAATGGCTGACTTTTGATATTATTTGGCACTGATGAGCGCATTTAGTCTGATGATCTGATCAGATCAGAAAGTCGGTTATGAAGAAGTTGCAGCATGCAAAAATCTATCCGCAGCAGTCAAAATACAGTTTTCATTAACCAATTGTTGCACAACTTTTATTATAGACCTCCAAAAAAATACACGGAGAGGGTACATCAATGATCTATGAAGCTATAAAGCTGAAACTGAGTTTGTATTTACAGTTCACAAATACCAGATCCTCCAGAATTTCGCAAATGCTGAACTTAAAGTAAAAAAAGCAGATGTCGCAAACGTTTGTGGAGCTCGCAAATTTTTTACGATTTGATTCCTGCCTAATTTTACTGTTGATATTGATTATTGGTCGCCTGTACTGACCATTCACCTGTGACTACCTTTATCATACTGTTTTTATCCGTTTGACCCTTGCCTGCCTGACCATTCTCTGTTTAAACTGCACGAGGACCCTCAACTCCATTGTCCATCAGTGTACTGTTACAGAAGGACTGTTAATTGTCAAACTTTTGTGAAGCTCGCAAATTTTTACACATTTTTTAAGATTTTTAGATAGATGGATAGAATGTGGTATCTTCTGTATGATCTGCATCATGTGACATTATCGCAACGCACATTCAAAACCTGTTCAAACTCAGACACGAAAGTTGTACCTATACTGTATATGCATATGTTGTCATAAGCACATACACACGTGTGTACAGACAATTTTCACAGCAAAACAATAAGACAAGGGTGTCCAAACTCGGTCTTGGATGGATGGTGTCGTGGAGAGTTTAGCTCCAACTCTAATCAAACACACCTGAAGCAGCTGATCAAGCTCTTACTACATATACTAGATACTTCCTGGCAGGTGTGTTGAAGCAAGTTGGAGCT